AGGAAAGTAAAAATTAGATCACTGAGGCCCCGTCCACACTACTGCGTTTTCGTTTAAAAACGAAAAGACCTTTTAAAAAAGGTATTTTCGTTCAAAAGACCTTTTGCTACGTTTGCACCTCCCGTCCTCACTAAAACGGGAAAAACGAAGACCTAAAACGGAGAAGTTTAGAAACGCTGGAGCTGCGTTTTGCGTTTTGAATATCCGGAGGGCGTTTTAGTGTGGACGAGACAAAACGGAGAACTTCAGAAACGCTGACGCAGAGGCTGACGCTTGGCTCTTAGGGCTGGGTATCGATTCACATTTCAATTTCGATTCGATTTCGATTCGCAAGCTCTCAGTTCGATTCTCGATTCAACTATAATGAAGATGTAATAAAAATCCTATATTTATAATTTATAAAAAAGAACAGTGGACATAAGTTTACTAGTGGTTAATTAATACAAGAAAATTAAGAGCCATAAACCTATATATAAAACACTTTTTATTTTAGGTACACTAAATGCATACAAAGATTTTGATGCAATATGCAAAAAAAGAGTCGCACAGAACAGTCGCACAGCTTGATCAAACAGTATCATGTTATTTTATGTTTAAGATAGATAAATATATAAATATTTAGACATTTTTTACATTGATCTTACCGAAATGTTAATGTATTTTTTTTTTGTTAAGAGTTTATGTATGGATGCTTAATTTCAATCTTTGAATTAAATTGAAAAAAGTAGCACAAATAAATACAATAGAATAAAGACACAAATTAAGAGACATTTTGGGGTAGTTTTTTGGGTATGTCAGAAATACTACAGAAACTGAATGAAGTAATCCAATGTAAAATAACACTGGATAGTCTTTTTAGTCCAGACTGAATTAAATACAAAGGCTATTAATTCTGATTGCTAACAATTAACACTATATTCTGTTGTTATGACAACAGAATTAATGACTGACACAAATGGCTGCGTTCACTTTAAGAACTAGTGCGCGAATCCATTACTGTTTCATTAACTTTCTGTCACAGGCAATGGCGCCACCAGGGGGTGGCCAGGGGTGGCCATGGCCACCCCTGGCCGACTCCTGGCCACCCCATTGGCCACCCCAATGGCCAGTATTAATTTTTGTAGCATCAGTTATGCATTTTATAAATAAGTCAAAAATATTCTTAAGTAAAAGAAGACGGGGAATTATGTGTCGTGACGTGCTTTTTAAGTGCCAAATGGTATACTGTTACAGCAGCTTTTAGGTGTGTTTTTGCCACGTTTGGACAGGCAGGGATGCAAACAGTGCGCTTTTCGGCGCCTCCCGCTTTTTTCACGTCAGTTTGGGTGACAAAGTCATCTGAAGTCATTCCATAGCTTAATGTGAGGGACAGAAGTATATTTACATCGTTAAAGTATAAACTCGTTTTCCCTCCTCTGCGGCTGTCATCATTCTCCATTCATATTTAAACAGCACGCGCGCCTCTTGGATGCACGGTAAAACTCTCTCCAATATGATATATTGACATTATAAATGCATGATCTGTAGATAAAAGTCTGCATATTCGCATAAAATTACTTTATTTTCTTGGAGTTTGTTGCTGTTTTTAAACGACTCACTACCGTGTTCTGTTAGATCACACATCACAAGGATTATGAATCGGCATCAAACGCACAATAACTGTGAAACAAAGGAACAAATCGCACTTGGATTTGTGCGCTCAACATTTCTTCGATTTGTGACATGAGCTTTTAAATGCACACTTATGAAGCGCAGTGCTGCTGCACACTGTGACTCCATGTTGCTTTGAGCACATCATTCTGCACCCGCGATGCGCATACACGCTGTGTGCTCTCTGTTTTTCATGTAATCATGGGTTTGCGCACTGAAATATTATTAAAAGCCAATATATTTTGTTATACCTAGCCTGCTCAATACATTTTAAATAAGCATAATTTAATTGTATATAATTTATTTGTAGTTTAGGCTATGCACTTCTGAATTCTTGACATTAATATATAAATATAAAATTGTGACATGATTGCCTGATTGAATTTTAAAAGAGAACTAATAGTAATTTGTTTTTATTAACATATTTAGATTTTATAAAATTACTGTGCAGATTTTTTCAAGAATTACTTTTTGCTGCTGATGTATACACTCATTAAGTGTATTAAAAATTCATAATACATTTATGTAATATTTAAAGGTGTTAACTGTAATCTTACACTGCAAACTAATAACTTAAAAATGATTAAATTCATCACAATTATGCAAGTATCTGGAAATTTGCTGTGGGGCAAGGACCCTTATATATCATATAATATATATCATTATATACAATAATATATATTAGTTGGGCCCTACTAATATCATTAGTAACATTAAATATTACACAATAAACCAAAGTATATCAGTAGGAATTTCCTTAAGTCTTTCTGATAGTTTTCTACAGGCTGGTTTATTACAACAGTAGAAAACAATTCTGAAATTATGGTTTATACTTAGTTTTGGTGTGCCACCCCAAGATTTTAACTGGCCCCATCTGGCCACCCCTACGAAAAATTTCTGGAGGCGCCACTGGCAGAGAGACGAGAAGATGCAGCACCGCGTCCGCGAGCCCTTTATATGGAAAAAAAATCGATTCGTGGCCGTTGAGAATCGATTTTGAATCGAACACATTTTAAAAAACGATTAATCGAAAAATTGATTTTTTTGCCCAGCCCTATGGCTCTATGATTGGGTGTTATCAGTCATGGCGTATCCTTCCCTGATTCGTCATTCACTGTTTACACCGGCACGCGCATGACCAGTGTTGGTGGATGGTCACGTGATCCGCGTTTTCAGTCGTTTTAATGTGGACGGAGATCGTTTCTAATACGCAGATAAAACGCTGGTGTGGACGGAGATCGTATTCGTTTTAATTCTCCGTTTTTAAACGAAAACGCAGTTGTGTGGACAGGGCCTGAGATCATTTAATATATTGTATCTTTAACATGACATATTTGATATGTGTCTAGCTTGACAAAAGATTACAAAAACATCTGAAACTGGTGAGTAATAAAACAAAATTCCCCTGAGAATTTTTTTTGGGGGGGGGGGGTGCGGGTAAAAGAGCATGATAGATGGAGAGATTTTGTTTCAGTGAGAAGGAGAGGGTAGATTTCTATCACATGACTCCAGGACTCCTGGCATAGGAACACTCAGCATTGGCAGGTCACCTTCCCCTATAAACACACTCAAACAAACCCTTTCGCAGCACTTCTGCCCCACTCTGCTGCCGCAAAATGACGTCTTCCACATTCTCCAGCAAAGACTTTCCATTGTTTTGTATAATAAGCTAATTATGTTGGCGATATGAGTCCAAAAGCTCCGGTTACATGTTTTGCTCCTTTTTGTATTGGATCATTTCTTATGAAGACTTTAGTTTTGTGTAATACATTTTTTCTCTACTCTATTGAATGGCTGTGTCCATAAATCCTTAAATAGCGTCTTCATGTATCTTTATGAGTGAGATGCATGAGAACAAAACAAATAATTGTTTTATATAAACTTAGAAAGGGTTGAGCGATTCAAGATAAAATACACATTTTTGATACAATAAATACAACAAAATGTGCAAGTATGCGAATTTTAGCACAAAATTGCATTTTGAAGCAATGTTTTAAAAGCACAACAAAGCCACAATTTTTCCACTCTTTAGGAAATTTTGGTAACGCTTTACAATACGGGTGCACTAATATGCATTAATTCATGCTTAAAATCATGAGTTAATGTATAACTAATGAAGAACTAAACCGTTAATTAACGATTACTGCATCAGCAACTAATAAAGAGTCTATATGATTAATAGATTAAGTAATACACAAATTGCTATTAATTCAATGTGTCATTGTGTATTAATTCCTTTATAACATATTTTATTAACTAATAGTGTAAATTAATGTGTTAATTACCACAATTAGTCAAAGCTATGCACTTCAACTTCCAGTTGTCTGCTATAATTAATCATTAGCTAATGATTTGCAAAGGTATCATTATCTTATGACTTTACTTGTTGGGGCACATCATTATTAACTAGTCATTCACATGAATTTGCACTAACAATTAAGTAAGTAATCATGTATTAATGCATATTAGTGTACCTGTCATATTATCTGGAAGTTGAAATACAAGGGTTTGGCTCATTCTGGTAATTAACATTAAAAAATTAAAAAATGAGTTATTATGGAATTAATCCACAATTACATATTTAATTAGAAACAATTCATGTATGAACTAATACATTAACCTTACAGACTCTTAATTAGTTCCTAATGTGGTAATCATTAATAAATAGCTTAGATAATCATTACTCACACATTAATTCAATATTATCTGTGCATTAGTTAAGCATGAATTACCGAATTAAGTGTTACCGAAATTTTATTTGAATTATTATTTTCCTTATTTTATTATTAATCCATGTTTTCACTGTTATATGGTAGGGGGCACTATTATGCATCTTCATAACACAGGCGAATAAGAAGCAGAAACAAACATTGCTTACGCATGTAAAATAATGCAATCATCAAACAACATACAAATCAAAACGTTATATGAAATGTCGACCGAGGACAAGCTATAGGACTGTTTTGGGGATGTTGATGGACTCGATCTACTCCATCTATGTTTTGGTCATCAATCTGAATTGGATCTTGAAGTCTTTATTTTCTCAGCTTTTTGTTCAAAATATTGCTTTTCTTAATGAAACTTACCCCCATTCAAGTGTTGATATAAAATGAATGCATTAATCTAAAATAAAATGTTTTTAGTTTAAATGCAGAAGCTCTGTTCATTATTTTGATATATTGCATGTTCAGATGCATGAATTTTTATTTATTTTTTTTGAAAATGATCAAAAATGCTGCTGCTGGCTGACGACTATTTTTTAAAAAGCTAGCGGGAAAATATGATGTTTATAAACATCACAATGATCATCATTGTGGTGAGCCTGTATGTGTTTGTAAGTGAGCACAAACCTCAAAATCGTTGTTCTTATTGTAGTGCATGTTAAGCACTTTGTAGAGCGACGAATCACAGCTCACTCTGATGTCATCCGCTGCCACCACATCGTCATTTATGGCCTGCCGGGCAAACTTCTCAATCTGGATGTAGTAGAACTCTCTGAAGTTACTGAACCACTTTATCAGCTGAGATGTGATGCACCTGTTAAACTAAGACACACATAATGTTAAATACTAATGAGTTCCATTAGGTTTGAAAGAATCTCTACACTGTAAAAAATGATTGATGCAAATAGTTGTACAAATGAGGATATACATGTTGGATCAACATAATGGTTGTGTCAAAAAAGAAAAATATGTTTGGTCAATGATTACATGATTTCCATGACTGTACTACAAAATGTTCATCAGGAGAAAATAAATAACGGTGTTCACAGAATTTTTAACATTGCACAAAAAATATTATGTTGGCCGAGCAAGAGGGAACAGCGTCAATCGTCTGAGCATGCGCAAAGGAGTTCTACCAGGCTTTTGAATTTCCCCCGCCACGAGTCACGACATTGAATTGGTGAGTGAATTTTCTTTATTTGTGTTGCGAGGTAATTAGCAAATTTAGGTTAAGAATATATCTTGTGAGTAACGTTAAGTGATTAGCATTCCTTTCCAACTGGCATGCGGTTTTAACGTTGAACCACACGGTTAAGCATCGCATGGGTTGCCACCTGTGCCGGTTTTACCAGGATTGTCATTTGTCCTTCTTTTTAATAACTTGCCTCGGGAAATTTAAGCACTCGTTCGTTTCCGAAACCGAAAGGCTACGTGAATGTTCAAACTGTGTAGTGCGCGGCCGCGTGCACGGCACAGAGGGGGAGACCTCGCACTCGACATGTTAGAAACGCATGTAATTCCCGGTGGGCGGGTTGTCGATATGTCCCGGTTTTTTATCAGACATAGGTGGCAACCCTATGTTCCTGTTTAATATTTTAAATGTTCAATATTTTTAAATTCCAGTTGCATTCTTTATATATGGGTCAATGACGTATAAGGCCTTTGAGAGGCCCATTTTTAAAATACTTGAAATAATAATATATTTGGCTATTTTCTAAACATGTGGAGTGTAGTCTACACATGCATGTGTGTGAAAACTTCAAACAAAGATATTTTAGTGCTTTTAAACTCAAATGAATAGGGCAATGACCTTAAAAAAGTCATTTGGGGCGACCGTAATTTATCTTATAATTAATAGATTTTCTTTGCATAAGTTATATTTTAAGAAGTATCAGTAATTAATTGAACTGTTTAAGAAAGATATACTCATGTGTCCTTTCATTTATTGCAAATGATGTTAAATACATTTTTATCTATAATGGCAGTGTCACCCTCATAAAGCAATTACATATTTATTTTACTCATATAATCCATAAAACTGATTTAATATGTGTAGATATAGTATCCACTTATTGATGTTATACCAATGAATTATATTTCAACCAAAATGGACAGACATTATTTTTTGAATTTACTGCAGAATTGAATATAGTTGGTTACCCCACATGACAAATGGTCGCCCCACATGATGAAAAACAGCAGGCAATTAAGACTATTCAATGATTTTGATAGTTAAAACACATTTAATGGAATTTTATGAATAATCAGCATATTTAATGAAATTTTATGAAGAATCAGCATATCCATTTCATTTGACACATTTCATAACATTAACAGTATCCTCACTATTTCATTTGACACAAAACCATCATATTAAAATCTTCAATACTAATGCATTAAATGCTTGGACATAACATTGAACAGCATTTTCCTTTTTCATTTTCATTTCATTAATCACTTAAACATACAATGTTTGCATTTTCATTACTATTTTCATTTAACAGTTGAACATAGCAGCATTCTGCAGACACATTGAACAGCATTTTCCGCTGCCTGTAGCGAGCAGTCTTTTCTTTGCTTGTTAGTGGGGCCATCTAGAAAAAAAAGTATATTTAAACATACACAGAGTTAGAAAAAGAATTGGAAAAAGTAGAATAAATGCTTAATATTCACACATTTATTTGATAAAAAACATAATAATCAAAAAGAAGTAAGCTTAGTTCTCTCTGAAGTAGGAGGGAAATTATTGAAATCATGTGGTGAAATGTAAAAAGTTATTTAAAACAACTAAATGCATATAATGAATGTAAACATTTGCACACAGAAACTACAAATACATGATATGTGTTTTCTATCATTTAAGCAATCAGTGGCGGTCGCCCCACATGATGCTTGGTCGCCCCAGATGATATTTTCAAGTTTAATCAAGTATAACAGGCTAATGCTTAGCTATAGAGCCCAAATTAGCTTCTTCTCACCACATATCACTGACAAATTTACAATTTACAAATTTAAAAATAAAGATTTGCGTATAAAACTTATAATTTACAGTTTTAGGTTGGTCGCCCCACATGATATCAAAATGTGACGTATACACTGCAGCAGTTTTAAAGAGGATTTGTTTGTAAAAATGAGAGTGACAACTCACCTGCTAGTTGTCTCTGTGGGACCCTCACCATGAGGCTGGCTGATGCAGCATCCTCTTTGAGATGATTATCAGAATATAAGTTCCTTATTTGTATTTTCTTGATGGTCGCCCCAGATGATATTTCAGATAATGAACATCTTCGGACAAGATTTGTTTGTTTATTATGATTGAAATGTGTGTACAAATGTTTCATAACTTTGTCAATCAATGGAAAACAAGTTTAAAATTATGCCAAATAGGGTAAGAATTATATTTAAATTATTTTAGTTTAATTTAAAACCAGTTGTCCAAACAGAAGTCAAGGCCGGACGGTCGCCCCACATGATGTTTTCACACTTCAGGTGGCAGAAAATGCCAATAAACTAATTATTTTTAAAGAAATAAGAGTGGGCATATGTATAAGGAAGGTGGTAGACATACATGTTATAATTTTATTAATTTTAATGTTTATTAATTGGTAAAAAGTTCAGTCGGACAGAAAAAGCAAGCGTCACGTCATTGACCCATATGTGTGATAATTGACTGCAACAGACAGCTAGTCTTGACAACTAACTTAGTGCTTTTGCTATCACAGAGTGACTGATCATTTAGGCTAGTTCTGAGTTAGTTTCCATTCAAAGCCCGTGTGCCATCGTGTTAGCAGCTAGTACTTTGCACAAGTACTTTTTAGAAAACCCTAATACATACTGAAGTATGGTTCTGTGTATAGAACTATGTGTTATTTATGCATTTGTAACGTTATTTATTTGTTTTTCAGGTATTTTTTCAGACTTAAAGCTAAATGCAGTGTCGCTATTGTACATTTTCACATCTGCAGCAAGACACAGGCTACAGGCTTCATCATTGGCAAGTAGGTAAATGTTCTTTTCCCTGCATTCATCCAGACTGTGTTTGTATTTTTACAACACACGCGCGCACACACACACTAATGACACATGATTTGGATATTTTTGTGTTTTTTTTGGAAAAAATTGGATTAAATGGGTTAATAATGTCTTATTGATGACCTGTATTTTTGGCAGACCACAGATCTAACTATTTATAGGTTTGCTGTTCTTCGTGGTCTTCCCCTGTACTTGAGAGAGCCAACTTCAAAGACTTATATTTTTTATTTTATTATTTTTTTTTTCAGACTTAAAGCTAAATGCAGTGCTGCTTTTGTACATTTTCACATCTGCAGTGCACATATGCAATGCTTCATCATTGGCAAGCAGGTAAAGGTTATTTTCCTTGCATTCATCCAGACTGTGTTTGTATTTTTACAACAACAGGGCCCTTAAAAAAACATTTATGGAGAGCACATCCTAAAATAGACAGCCCACTCAGACACACACCCCAGACACATCACGCACCCAACACACTCAAATCACGCACACCGCAACACACCCCGCACGCACCCCACACACTCACATCACGCACACACCACACACCCCACAACGTACACCACGCACGCATATCACACACCCGCACACCACAAACCCCACACTCAAATCATGCTCACCACACAACGCACACCCCACAACCATGCACGCACGCACGCACACCCCGCACGCACACCCCACACGCACACATCACACACCCACACTCACCCCACACGCGCGCACACACACACACCCCACAACCCTGCACGCACACATCACACACCCACACACACGCGCACACACCACATAACCCTGCACGCAAGCACACCCCACACGCACATTAAAGATACTTGATTTGGATATTTTTGTGTTTTTTGCAAAATTTGGGATTAAATGGGTTAAAATGTCTTATTGATGACCTGTCTTTTTGGCAGACCACAGATCTAACCACTTATGGGTCTGCTGTTCTTCGTGGTCTTCCCCTGTACATGAGAGAGCCAGCTTCAATTTCAAAGACTATTAAGGTAATTTGAATATCTTTATGGTATTACTGTTTGAGATGCAGTAATGATTGCATAAGACATTATGCTTTCAGTCTGACACTTAGTGTCATTTATTGTGTTTCACAGAATACTGAGGCACTGGGGCCACACACAAAGGCCATGAAAATGGGGATCCTGGAAGTGACTGACAGTTCTACCAACTCAGGACCATATTCCACAGTGGTCAATGTGGCTGTAGTACTGGAGGAGGAAGTTGTCATGGACAATTTGGAAGACTTCACAAATGCCCTCGTGATGCTCTTTGGTCTGCTTTATGCTGTAAAATGGAGTAAGGACTTAAGGTACACATTTGAGGCAGTCCAGAAGATTATCTTAAACTGCTGCTCTGGAACTTGTTGATCAAATAAATTGATATTTGATTTGTAAAGCAGTAGGGATGGGCAATGGTTAATCGTGATTATTCGCATCCAAAATAAAAGTTTGTGTTTACATAATATGTGTATGTAGTGTGTATAATTAATTTGTATATATAAATACACACACATGCATGTATATTTAAGAAATAGCATGTATATACTTTGTAGTTATACATAATTAATATTATATTTGATATATTAATAACATTTTTTTCTTAAATATATACATACATGGGTATTTATATATACAAGTTAATTATACATACTACACACATATTATGTAAACACAAACTTTTTTTTGGATGCGATTAATCGTTGCCCATCCCTACAAAGCATTCATCCCTGAGAAATATTAGAATGTTTAATTTTTTAAAGTAGAGATTTATTTTGCCAATAGAACTGTTTTAATGTACATAGTGACATATGTAACCTGAAAGTAGTGGGCAGTACTTTGTATTTTATTTTTTCCATGTAATGTACAGTAATTGCCCTTAGTCTTAGACTAACAGACTAAAAATGTCATATGTTTACAGGCAAAGCCACTGTCATGTTTTACTGAGTAAAGCAGATATTTGTTGTACAGCTATTGACTAAGTTATATGCCACGCTTTCTTGAACTCTCAGATCTTGTTTCGGCACTATTTGAATACTTGTGTAATATTTTACTTGAGACTAACAGGCAAGTCTTTTGTATTTTAATAAATGCATAAAATGTACTCTATCAGAGCCTAGTGTGTTATTTATTTGAAATAATGAAAAAGAGACTTTTTTGACCAACATTAATGAAAAATAGACTTTTTGGCCAACATGAAATATTTAATTAATACAACATTTTATTTCAATTTGAGTCTGTTCATTGGCCCAACAAGCTGTTCAGTCAACAGAAAATATTTAATTGACAACATTCTATTTCAAGTTAGGTCGACATGCAGGGGTAGTCAGCACAACACAAAAAAGTTGGTTTCCGCAACTTAAATTGGGCCAACTAAAAATTTTAGGTGCAACGGGTCACTAGAAATTTTTATGTTGGAGAGGCATATATTTTTTTACAGTGTATCAGTCTGCACTCACCTTCACGTCTGAGAAGTACATCTTGAGCATGCTGGAGCTTGGGTACCTGCTGTAGAAGAACATCAGTTTGGCCTTCTTCAGGTGACTCGGGGACAAGCCCTCCTGGATGTGATGCCAGCAGTGAAGGAAAATAAGCCCAATACTAAGGCACAAGATTTGCTTGACATTATCACCTCATCACTCAAGGTGTCGGCTCGTCACGTTCAATAAAAACCACACCAACATATTTTACATCAGAAACTCATTTTACAGGCAAAGCGAGCAACGTCTTTCCCTATGCCCTGATCCCAAACCTCCAGATGTCAAAGAGATAAATATAGTATTTGCATATCACCTTCAAATGAGTTTGTAACCTTCATTTTACCAGCGACTGAACACAAATATAGCGGTAAGGGCTTTGGGAGGATCTTTTGGGCATGGCATATGTTTTCCATAGGTGACAATAATCTGACTCGACACTCTTAAAAATAAATGAAGATTACGGTTACAACAGTACGTGTATTTACAGTATAGTTAGTTACCCAAGCAAAAATAGGTTATTGCAATTGCTATAATAGGTACATTGTGTGTGCATGCTGAAGAGGACTGTGAAATAAAGTACCAAGATTGCACTAGTGAATCGGGCTAAGGCTTTTTTTATGCACTCAGTATTGAAGTCTGTTAAATTTCAAAAGCTGAGCGAATAAATGCCTTTCAGGGTAACACTTTTTATAATCATTTTTTATTAACCAGTTATTTAAGAGTTTTCAGTGGTTCATACGATTACTTAGAGCGAGTAAGTAAATGATTAATAAACTATTTAAATGTACATTCATACATCTTATTATTCAGACACATAGTGATGGTAACTTAATGTGTTAATAAATGCTTTATTAACATGTATTAATGCTGTAATTAAGGGTTAATTTGGGTAGTTATAAAGCATTTAGTAGTGGTCAGTTAACTATGTTCGTGAGCTCATCTAAAGTGAGGACTAGTCATGCCTTGTAAAGCATTTTTAAAGGCTGTTAAATATTTCTATGTTCAGTATCACTGCGTTGTGTTTGTTACATTTTACTGTTTAGAAGATTGACAAGTCTTTAAATCTCATTTATAAATGCTTTACAAAGCATGAATAGTCCTCACTTTAGAAATAGTTAACTAACCACTACTAAATGCTTTATAACTACCTGTATTTACTACATTTACTTACACTTTCTACGTGATCTTATGAATGACTGACAACTCTTAAACAACTGGTTTGTAAATAATGCTATACTTCATTTGGAAATTATTAATTGATCATTAACAAAGTATGAAAATACAATCATTAAACGCATTATAGATATGCTTATAAATCAAGAAAAAACATGTTGTATTTATAAACTGCATATTAATGTCTATTAATGTTTTATAAATGATGAATTAACTGTTTACTCATGCTTAACTAATGATTAATAGCGTGCAGTTAATATAGTGTTACCCATTTCAGTTCTTTTTTTAATTAACAATTAGATGAGACTTATGAGCACTGACTCAAAACAAGTTTTAAGACATAAATAGTAACTAAAATTAAGTTTAAATCAAAGTTTTTCTTTTTTATTTGCTAATGAAAATTTCCGATGCTTGATGTTCTTAAATATATAATAAATCTACCAAGGTCTACGATGTTTGAAGGGAAACAAACAGTCTGGCTAACTGTCTGATCTTTCTGCCAACACTGCACATTTTCCTCTATTCTTTTAGCATCCATCAATAATCAAGATAAGAACACATTGAAAGTTCAAACTGCACTGCGTGTGACACTCCTGGCGTTGTCCTGCACTGACCTCTGCCAGACAACGAAATTGCTGACCGGACAAATTCTCCAGACAAAGAGGGCCGAGCTACCTCCTTTAAGGCCTCTCTGAGCTCTGACATCAGCGCAAAACACTTTGTGTGACTGTTGAACAAAAAACATCAACCTCTGCCAATATAACAGTGGACGAACAGAGGAGTGAACAACAAGATATGTTGTAAAAATCTGAACCAGAACTTAATAAAACAATTTCTCCAATCCAATCCACCAAATTCATCTGTATAATGGGGCAAACTACATTTCAAAGTCACAGTTTGAGCCTGCAATGATTATTTTGTACATGCCCCAGACCAAAAGCATCATGAACTACCACCATTGTGCTGAAGAGTAGCGCTGTCAATTGCGATTTTCACTATGATGTAACTAAATGTATATTGTAATCATAATTCATAATCATAATTTTTCATTGAAACAAAGTTTTCTGATGATCAGAGCAGGTGTGCATGTGTTGAATGTCAATGTAACTCAATTAAGCTTAAACAGCATTTCTTTATTAAGGCCTGATTGCAGTATAGGTTATACATTTTTTTGTATTTATAGGGAGAATCAGGTAGAAATTAGGTTACTAAATCAGGTTATGGTTATCTACTGACAGTTATTCTTCAGTTATGCTAAACCTTGGTTGGTTGAATTTAGTTATAATCAGTAATCTTAAATCATTTATTTCATTTCAACCAAACCAGTTATTGTAGATATTACCACATGAAGTATACATTGTCTAAGTAGAACTGACAAAAAAAATGTTTTCAGTGTAAACTCCATGACCATAAACCAAATTCAACTGCATTGTCCCATTTAGACACACTCCAATCATAAAGTTCTACATCCAAATCTGAAGCCATTCTTTCTATTGTTCAATAAAACAAAAGTGCATTCACTTATTTTCTACTTGGCTACTGATTAACATTAACATGGGTGACATGTTGACAGGCAAAAAGCATAGTAATGTCAGAAATGGAGTTTCTTGAAATTGCGAATACAGGAAGAAGCCATCTTTGAAAAATAGTCTCTACCGGTCGATCTACGAACGCCGATCCAAGTGCGCTGAACTGTGCAGAATCTCATATGGTCCGTTGTTTCCAGAAGAAACACAAACACGAACCGTTTTCTTCTTTTCAATATGTACACGTAGCCTACTGTTCACGCTCACCTTATCACCTTATTCACATCTCACCAGCGCACTTGGATCGGCGTTCGTAGATCGACTGGTAGAGACTATTTTTCAAAGATGGCTTCTTCCTGTGTTCGCGAAGTTGACTGTGTGTATAAAATATCTTCTTTTTAAACTGTATGGACACTGACAAAGTTCTCAATGCTTCGGTTTGAATGTAGGGACCCTTATTATGCTACCGTGTTAGTGTGGGGCTATTTTGAGCCTTGTTAGTGGTAATAACAAGCGATTTTTATTTGCCATTACTCTACGCCCTATATAGCGTTATAGGCTAAACTATTTTTAGAGATAAAACTATTTACATTCGGCAATCATGAAAACAAATCTCAGATAACGGTTGACTAGGTGACAATGTGTAATTAGACCAAAGGTTCATTTTCCGCCGGAGTTGTCCTTTAAAATCGGCTTGAACTAGAAAGGCATTTGGGGCAGAAGTTCCTTTACACAATGGTTACACTTGTAAATGAGAGAAGTATTGGAAAAGGTCATTTGTACATCAAAAAATAGCTTTCACTACTATGAAAAGGATATTGTACTCTCTGAGGGTGGTGAGATGCCTGACAGTGGATTAAGTTCCCTACATTCAGACTTGATGAGTGACAGCCCTTCAGCAGAGGTGTCTGAGTAATCTGGTGAGCAGGAACGGTTATGCATCAGATGTAAGCTTTTCTGTAAGCTGGTGGTCTCCCTTGACAGATCCATCAAATCAGGAGATTCAATACTAGATGAAGCACCAAGAGTGCTCTGAAAGGAGTAACCCAAGAGAGGAAGCGGAAACGGATGACGGAATGATTGGGAGATGAAGCCTGTGTTTCCAGAAAGAGAAGACGTGTGTAGGGAGGGATGTGGGTGGCCACTTTGAGCTCCAAGATCTGTGGACTGGTGGTGCTCAGATACACACTTTTGCACCACCAGTGGTCGTGCCTCCATCTGCTCATTGGCGCTAGGAAGAGGGACTCCAACAAAGGAGTCAAATGGTCTGGGAAAGATAACATCACCAAAACACTGCAGCCTCTGATTAGCAGTGTGGAAGTTTGGGTTGTCCCCGTTAAAAGCAAAGCGGTCCTGGGTTGCTGGAAGTGATGGGAATACTTGTAACAGTTGCCGTGGAGGTTTTGAGAAAACATTCACCACGGTGTCTATCACTTGAGACATGACAGAGTTCAGCTCCTGCTTCAGGGTTTCTGCCAGATGCTTGCCTACTCCGTGCACAGACTTCAAACCTTTGCTCCTCAAAGAACTCTCTCGTTTGGCCATCTCTCCATCTAGCAATACGTGTTCCCTCGCCTCGTCGGGAACGCATTCCGGATCCGAAGCCGCCATCAAATTATTCCTTTGATCGGCGACGTAACTTTGGTGTTCAAGCAATCCATCAGATTGTGCACTGTCTTCTGAGAGATTCCCTCCATCGGCTTCAGAATCTGAGCTGTCGTAGATCCGGAAGAACTTCTCCTGAATCTGTCTCAGCTGTTTCTGCAGGTCCTCCAACTGTAGTTTCAACTGCCTGCGTTCTTCAACCTTCTGCTCGGTGTGTGTGGAAACCAGCCGCTGGACGCTCTGCTGCTGAGGTAATTTTTGTTTCCTCTTGTTTTCACGGGCGGGAACCTCGGTTTCTCCCTCTCCGTCTCGCTCATGTTCTTTCCCACTAGGGATAGAGCGTGTCATCACATTTGGCGAGTGGTTCATTCCACGAATTATGTTCTCGACACGTGCGCGCTTGGCCTGTAGGTGCTCTTCATTTAGCCGCTCCGAGTCAAAACGGGTCCCTATGTTTTGTCCAAATGGTGAGAGACACTCTTTAACACTCTCTTGGGATGAGCTGCTGCAAGTGTCCTCCTGTGGTGGTTCAGGTTCTGCTTTCCTGGAGAATATTGGCTCCCTGCCTCCTGTTTCTGTCGTTGCCTTATTGCTGTTCAGTAGCTTGGTGATGATAGTGGCACCAGAAAAGGGTATCATGTTGTCTTCATATGAGCTGGCCCTTTTAAGCAGTTTGCGGAGAACATTCGACTTAGCCTCACTTGAGTCCCGGTGCTTGAGATGAGCCCCTTGGCGCTCCAGCACATCCTGCTTCCAACTGTGATGGGAGTTCATGGCAGTAGATTTGGCTGCACGAGTCACAGTGATGACAGCAGAAGCTGTATGTGTTGATGTGGCTGCTGAGCTAGTCCTCTTCACGCCAATGTCCACTCGTCTTCTCTTGGTCTGTAGATTTAGATGGAACTCTGTGTCATGGGCTGGCATTTGTGGAGCTGCTGTTGACCCATTTCCCACAAGCCTGAACTAACAAACCATTATCACTGTCACCTACTGACAGAAAAACAGAGCAAGTGAGGCAAACACAAAATAAATTTTTGTACTGGAATCATAAATATTCGAAAATGTTTGTGCAATAAAGTGTCCACATGTTAAAAAATCTAAAACAAATATTTGCGAAAATATATACTATGGCTCATTATATTTAATAATATAATAATTAGGAAGGGGAGGGAAATTAGGAGTTAGCATTACAGTTTTTCCCTCTTCATCCTCTTTCTGTACTAGTTTCATCCACTTCTCCTGTTATCTGTTGTATTCACTCATTTCCCAAAGTCGTCTTGAATGTTCAATTGTCAATACAACTGAAAGATTTTAACAATTGATTAATGCTCAAAAAATAATAATAAAATGCTAAAACTAATTAAATGTTTCTTAAGCAGCAAATCAGCAAAAAATGAATATATTATATGGTAACAATATAATTTTTTTCATTATTTATTCTGTTATATTTTATTGTATTTAGTTTCTAGAACTCTTGTGTAAGCGAAATATACTAAATAAGCTTTTTTAAGTAAGTATAATTACATTCCTGTACAATACTCTCTAATATATATATTAGTCAAGTCAAGTCTTCCCTATTGTTTAAACCTGAAGAAATGGAAGTATTTTCTCAGAATGACAGTGACACAAAATACAATTAATCATAAAAAAATGCCCAACTTCATGCATTCAGTAAATAAATGGAAAAATCTAAAAATAGGCAAAAATAAAAGGCAGCTGCTCAACCAATTCAACAACCCCCCCCCCCCCCCAAAAAAAAAAAACCTAAATAATGCAAAAGAAAACTAACACTCACTCTACAAACACAGACTTGACTTTATTTCATTTGCTTTATTGCTGATAATATGGCCAACTTCCATTCACCACACATCTTAAGATCATTCTTTTTCTTACTTCTAAATTTTATAAATCTTAAACCTGATTTTCAACTCATTGCATGCCAAAATCTTACAAACATGCTCTTTTATTCAATGGGGTTTCATACATTTTTGAAAAACTTATAAAGGATTAAATGCAACGTTTTTTTTAACTGCATTAAAAGTATAACATTTAAAAAGAAGTAATTACTAAAACTACTCCTTAATAAACAGCTTTATCATTTAAAAATAAATAAATAAATAAATAATAATCTAAGAAATAATAATGAAACATTATGCCAAAAGGGTTTCCTCTTAACAACGAACCTCTAACATATTTGTTATAATGCCAGTATAACCTTTTTTACTTAAAAACATGCTCATAGCCTATGAGGGAATTCAAGTGCAAACTCGTTTTAAAGCATGTTTCAATAAATTAATACATGATTTTATCTATTAAAAATGATCTTCACTTTATTGACCTATCAATGGTTATTTGTGTGAGTTAATTGTTACACCATTGTCACATAAATTGTCTTAAAAAGAACAACGTCTTAAATAGCCTATACACCGCAGCTTTCAAATGAGCAAAACTACAAGCAAAATCAAACGGTTCTGATGAAACTGCTGTCTCTAAACTCCTTTGAAGAGGACAAGAAAAAGTATCAGGATATTAAAGCTCTGGTCAAATAGCCACGAACATTGCGCTTAAGGTGACCGTTATCAAACTATAAAAACAAAAACTGAAATATAATTTAGCCTACAATGTTCAGCATCCCAAACTCGAACTATATTTAAAATAAACAGAGCTTTTGAATAAGAACAATCGCATAAATCCAAAAGAAAAATCAATTTAAAAAAGTGTGTTTTCAGAGGACTCTGCTGCTCAATAAAAATGTGAACATCAGTAGAACTCATTCATTGTCATACAGGACAAAAAGGTCACTTACCTTGCAAATGACTGGAGAAAAGCTGCTGTGGTTTGTGAGATGACAAACAGAATATGATATCAGATCTTGTAGTAGGGCGAGGCGGCAGAACATTGCGTTGAGTTGTGCGCGCTCTCCTCCAGCTGTAGACGCGCTTAAACACACATATGAAAGGAAACGGAGACAATCAGTGTGACGTAACGCCGAACCTACCAATCAGAGCGTAATTTCACCTGAAATAACCAACTTTTAAAAATGAGTTAAATCTATAACTTTAAAGTTAAAGATGAGTTTATGACTTATTGATCATTATATCATGATTTAAAGATATATTATAGCAGCCAGTTAGAGTATGCAACTGCTCCCCTCTCAAGTTCCTCTATTATTTGTCAACACCACGGTGTGTTCATGAATAAAATAATTAATCTAAAATCTAAAATATTTCTTTGGTGAAAGACACACAAATATGAGGGATGATGATAACATTTTCAGTAGGCTACACATGTCAAGATAATCAAAAAGCGACTTTAAATAGATTTTTAGGGAAACAAAGTGCAGACCTTTGAAATTTGTTAAAGTCGATGTAAATATTATGAATTTAAAGGCTTGTACAGATTAACCAAAATGCTGCGCATTGCCTTGTCATGTGTAACTGTATATTGCTCGAAATAAACAAATAAATAAATAAATAAATAAATTATATTCAGTAGCCTATTCAGACTACACTCTTAAAATGGATGTGTTAAAAACAACACAACCTGTGTTATATCTTAACACATCTGTGTGTTTAGTTAAGGACAACACATTTTGTGTTACTTTTAACTCAACCAGTGTGTTATTGTTCTTAACACGGAGTGTGATTTCACTAAGTTTGCACTTTGAATTAGATTAAAATGTAGCAACTGACAAAATATTGTGTGTAAATAAGTTTTATTTACACTGGTGCACTCTTATAAAATGATTTTGTAAATAACACAACCTGTAAAAAGAGATGTTAAAAATGACACATGCTGTGTAGATTTTAACACATATAGTGTGTGTGCTTAGGGACAACACATTTTGTGTAGATTTTAACACATGCTGTGTAGATTTTAACACATATAGTGTGTGTGCTCAGGGACAACACATTTTGTGTAGATTTTAACACATGTTGTGTAGATTTTAACACGTTTTGTAGATTTTAACACATTTAGTGTGTTTGCTCAAGGACAACACATGTTGTGTCAAATTTAACACACAACCTGTGTTGTTTCTTTACACATCTCTGTGTTTATAAGGATTACACATTTTGTGTTACATTTAACACAACTAATGTGTTACACAGCAGCAGTGTGTTGTTGAAACCTTTTACACACTAATGTGTTATAGTAACACAACTTGTGTCAGATACGCGTCACATGTGACTGTAGTCGGAGAGTATTTGCCAGAGTTACTTCCCGTGTGCTTACAAAAGTGTTTGGATGAACATTGACACGTATTGGTAACTTGTGTTTATGTAGTCCAGTGATGTCTAATAGAGTTTGTTTGAACATTTGGATGTTTTAAACATCATTAATCTATATAGACAAGCTCTTATTGAGAATTAACAGAGATTTGATGTTTCATTTCAGTTTTATTTCAAGTCACCATAATCGTGATTAATGGCTCCTTTATTTGGGCTCTTGACCCTTTACTCTTGTTTTAGTGTTTCTCTGGCTGCTGTAACTGTATTTTAATAAAATACATCTGTTATGGTGATAGAAAATATGATCAGATGGTTCTTGATGATGTCATAATCAGCAAGTTATGATCAAGTTTCTGAGTATATGGATGGTGTGCTTTATTATAATGATTTACTGTTAGTTCTGAAAGTTTTGTGAATCTACATCCAGCAATCAAAAAGTGCAGAATGACAAAAAAAGTTTAAAGCTACAGCAGAAACCAGTCAAACACAAATATCAAGAATCAGCGTATGTATCTCAATAATGGTGACAAACGAAAAATTTCAGGCCGCAATGCATGCTGGTACTTATGGATGAGCTTTATAGAGACATGAAGCTTTGCCACCATTGTTGAGAGTCATATGCTGATTCTTGATGTCTGTATTTGACTAGTTTCTGCTGCAGCTTTAAACTTTCTCTAAACATATATTTTTTTAAGAATTATAGCATGAGGTAGCATACACCATAATATCATGTAAAAACTGAGTATCTGTAATCAAATATAAGTGATCAAATATACGTTATCTCTTAAACATTAAACTTCTCTTGCTATGTTAAAAAACATCATGTTGAAAATGATCATTTAATGATCTTTTTCCTCAAGATAATTTCAACTGTTTCAGATGTGCAATAAAATACACAGAAACAGCAAACAGAGAAACGAATGATTAAGAGTGAAGGGTCAAGAGCCCAAATAAAGCTGCCACTAATCACGATTCTGGTGACATCAAAACAAACATTCAATGAATCGTCAACACAAAACCTGGTAATTCTCAATAAGTGTTTCTGTAGACGTCTGACAGAAATAAATTGTTTGTTATAATAAATTAGTTATCAATAACAAGTGAAATCAGCATTTGAAAAAACATTGAAACCGAGGCATGATGTGATTGGCTGCCAAAAACACTCATTAATCTGAAGTTTTTTTATGAATTAAGATTTTATTTATTTATTGTAATGTATTGTTTCATTTATTTTAGAGCTTGTTATGGGATACCATAGAAAATATACTACCTCTAGTTAGGTTCATAAACACAAACTTCCCTCCACCCATTAAAATTCTATCCAGTTACATTTTAACACACATTGTGTGTTAAAACTACACAACTTGTGTCAAAATACCATCAACACATGATGTGTGTTGTTTTTTAACACATCTCTTTTTAGAGTGTACACTAATGGGCAATCATATTTGTCCTTGTTTATCTTTTGTCTCCATCTTTGTTTCTTCATGTTGTTTTGCTAGCGATGTGAATTATTCTATATCACACGAATTAACTAAAAAAAATTGGGTACAGGTTCAAAAGGATTATCAGAACAATCAGATCAAGATCTGACAAATCCAAGCCCTGTAATGAAAAGCTTGTGTCATCAGACAGAATAACTGTGTTTATAGAGGACAAATATTATTTTAAATATAGATCATTAGGTCATGATTGATGGTTTTGAACATGGAGAAAGGACCTTTGGAACAAGCAGCTGGTAATCATGCCAGTTTTGCCCACCCCGGCCCTACTTTTCTCATTACATGAGAAAACACATCATTACATAAGAAAAGACTGGGCGATAGAGAAAAACAGAGAGTCTGATGTGCAGTACACTTAATGGTCAACTAGCAAACACTACTGGAGTGCAATGACATGCAGGCCACTAATCTGAGATGCTCATCTTACTAGCATTGATTAGTCAGGATTATACAACGCATTCTCATCCCAAAGCGCCATATACAACGCTTTTGCAAAAGCGTAAATATCCAACGCACATGGCACCCTTTAACGTCTAATGAGACGCTTCGGTTTAGGTTAAGTTTAGGTATGGTGTAGGGTAAGGGTTAGACCACTAGGGGGCGCCTTCTGCCCAAATATAGGCCTATCTGCGTCTCATTTCACGTTAAAGGGTGCCATGTGCGTTGGAAATTTACGCTTTTGCAAAAGCGTCCTATATGGGGCTTTGGGGTGAGAACGGGCTTCACAATACAGATTGTTTCAAGACAACTTAACAGTGTTTGTTTATTCATGGGGGAAAAAAGACAATCAAGTTTGGTGGAGCTGATCAATAGATGGGTCATTTAATTTGAATATCCCCAACTGAGCAGCAAGCCAAAGGCAACAGATCTGGCAACTCCACAACAAGATCTGTCAACAAAGCACAGTCATGCGATTTTATATATATATCTATCTATCTGATTTGGTACTATTTTCACAAGTAAGGTACATTTTCAAAACTCTTAGTAAAAATCCTGATTACACTTGTAACACAGTCATTCTTTCAAAACCTGATCCCATGCTTTCATTACAGGTACATTTTTCAGTCCACATCATTGTTTAAAAAGCAAGATTACTGTAATATGTAATGAGAACATTTGGTTTAATCACAGAAACACAACACAGTATGATCTTCTTTCAACTTAGTACTTTTAACAATCACCGCTCAACAGTAATTGGAAAATGATTGCAGTACCAGTTTTGGCCACAATCTAACATACGACTCCTTTAAAATTTCTCAAGGACGTTTTACTCACAGCTGTAAGATAATCTGGGCATGGGGTGGGACTAAGCATTGACAGTCATTTATGATTGGCTCAGAGGAACAAACCGCACTTCTGAATGTCCAAACGCGATTAACCAGATATCACAGAAAAGCCGTGAATCTCCTATTTATGGGACTTTTTAAAGCAAACGAATTGGAGTAGCGGTTCAAAAGTTATTTAACATTTCAGAACATAAGTTATTTTTAGCCGCCGGCGGCCGTATAGGTCTTTAGGGATATTTTGAAATAAATTCACTTTGAAATACAATTTTGGTATGCTCTAGCTTACCTCAAGGGCATTCAAGATGTAGGCTAGGTGTCTTTGTTTCCTCAGACTTCTCTGTTCATGCTCTTTGAGGTGGTGACCATAGACACGAACGGTTTGACCTAAAAATATAAAAATGGAAACTACTGCGGAAACACCTGCATCTTGGATGCCCTTGAGGTAAGGTTTTGGCAGCCGTAACTCAGTCATCAACCGTTTTTTTGTTTGTTTTGTTTTTTACATTTTATTTTTTTACAGTATATGACTCTACTGTAAACTTCAACACAATAGTGATAATCTATCTATCTATCTATCTATCTATCTATCTATCTATCTATCTATCTATCTATCTATCTATCTATCTATCTATCTATCTATCTATCTATCTATCTATCTATCTATCTATCTATCTATCTATCTATCTATCTATCTATCTATCTATCTGCTGTTCATTTATTTTCACGCTATGAGTGTCCTACTCCTAGGCTTTGATGTTCTCTATTGACCTTCTGATTTTGTGACAGAAGGTCACCTGACAGTCTACTTCAAACAGTAGGCTACTCCAGCTTTAATGATATGAGACTGTGAAATAACATAGATAAGAGCGGTGCGTTTGTAGTACACATGCACTA